CAGTGGAAATTTTGACAATCTCATAATAGTACCAGAACTGGTCAATATCTTCATAAGCACTCCAAAAGGCCACCTGCCAAGTTTTGTCGTATTCCGACAAGCCTAAGGCAATGAATACAAAGAAACAATTTTGGAAAAAATGGCCTCCAGCACCTTGAAATGGACCCTATAATTGAAACTATATTTCGGTGCGTCAAACAGCTGTGGGATCACCGTCATTGGATCCGGCACAGTCGAAAACCCCTATGGCTCAAGTTTCGGCTTAATCTGACACTCCAAGACAAAGTTATGGGCAAAACATTGAAACAGAAAGAGCCACACACTATTCCCGTGTGGCCTCACTGCACCAAAACACCATTAAAGGTGGTTGTTTTCACAGTCACGACCAGTGACTTTCGGGGCCCATATCTTACCTGTTCTGAGTTGATTCACGCTCAAATTTTGTGAGCTTGTTTATCTCGTCGAGACGAGCGTTTCGATATGTGGTACGCCCCGTGACGACGTCCGAGCATAGAAAAAAGCTAGAGAGCAGTTGCCGATTCGTGAAGAAGTTGCTGAAAAATCAGTTGCGACACGCCTCGCTCGAGCGGCCGAATCACGACGCTCGCATATCGGATCAACGTGAAACCAATTCCATTGTCTGCGTAAGGTCTTGGGCTATCTCTGGTCCGAACTCCGTACATGATGAACGGTTGGATTTTGCACAGCAAGGTGACGAAAGTGACCGTAATTCTGGCCGCCAGATTTCCAGATTCCTGCCAATACCCAAAAGTTGCGAAATCTTCATACTGGTTCCAAATCGTGTCCTGTTTGTTGGCACGTGATCGTGACGGCATGCTCAGTGCACTACGACGAAGAAATCACGGACAACCTCAAGGAACAAGCGCACTATTGATCCGGATATTTCAAGATTCATGCAAATTTCAAGTCTCATGATCATATGGTTTAAAAACATGATCCATGGCTCAAAGTTGGTATCAAATCGATCGTCATGCCGAGCCCTATAAGAAAACAATCATCTTTCGATCAAACGGGTATCAAAACAACCCTGGATCAGTCATGAAAGATCACGCAAGTTCTCGGGCAGCAGCAGAGACTGTTCTTGAATTCCACACATTGTTAGGCAGGAGCAAAACAGTCTTTTTGCACCCTATTTTCTTAATTTTTTTAATTCAATTAAATTGTAATTATCATCAATTTAGGTAGTTTTTAGATATCTACCCATGTTTGGGCCCAATTCTATATAAACATGCTAAACCTAATTGTAAAGGACCTTTGATGATTCAATAAAATGTCAATTGTTTACTTAGGTTCGTGATTACGTCTTGGAGAGCGAGCGAGAGGAGAGAGAAAAAAAGAGCCAATACCCCTCGATAAGGTGGATTTTCTCTCTCATCTCTTTTATTTCTCTCTCTCTCTTCTATTTCTCTCTTCTCTTTCTCTCTTTCTCTTCCTTCTCATGACTGAGATGATGGTTCAAGCCCCTCCCAAGCGGTAGGCACCGTAGTCCGCATGAGTGGTAGACCAGCCATTACCTTTGTCTTTGTCATCTCTCTCCTCTTTCACAGACGATGGAACCTCATCGCCGTCTATGTTTTTCTCATTCTCTTCTTTTCTCTTCCTTTGTGGTCTTGCATGACCACAACCCTTCTCTTCCCTCTTCCTTGTGGTCTCTCATGACCACAATTTTCTCCTCTCCTTCCTTGTGGTCTAGCAAGAAAACAATTCCTCTCTATTCTCATTCTTTTATCCTTGCAAATCTACCAGCTCCATATGCACCCTCGTGTTTACCTCCTCTATCTTTTCCTGGTAGTCCCTTATGTCCACCTCCCCTTCTCTTCTTTTTCTGTGATCCTTCACATTATCCTTCTGATGTACCCTCACGTTCCATTTTTACCTCTCACGAGCTGTGGTCCCGCGCGACCACCATTCTATAACTTTTCTTCCTATTGCTGCCTACGTAAACAAGCCTCATTGCCGCTTGTGCAAAACTCTACCCCAGCGCCATCTCATTCTTCCAACCCCAGCGCCGACTCACTCTTCCTAACCCCATAACCTTTTTTTTTATACCATCTTATATTACTCTCCTCCACATGCCATTCCCCCCTCACTTATTCCTTTTATTCCTCCTACCTTAACCCATGTATCAAACTCTTTTTCTTTTTTACAGTAAAATAATCCAACTCCAAGCCTTTCGCTCTCTTAACCAAATCATTGCTCTTTCTTTTATTATTATTGTAACTCCTTCTCTCTCATCCTAACAACCACTTTCTTCTCTCTCTTAATTATGTTATCACCGTTTCTTTTATTTTACTTTGTCTCATTACACTCAATCTTACATTATATTAAACACTTTTATTTTTATTTCATTTATCTTACATTACCTTCTCTCATCGACATATGACCCAACATTCCCTTCTCTCTCTTAACTAACCCATAAGTTTTGTCTTATTAAAACCTTCTCTCTCTCTCTCTTAACTAACTCATAAGTTTTGACTTATTGAAACATTCTCTCTTCTAACTAATTTATTTACAATATTTTATTAAAACATTCTCTTTCTCTCTTTTAACTAACTAATTTAATTACCTTTTC